CTAACAACAACAACAACAGGTTCAATACATTGTGTTCTGGTAATCAATCAATGATTTGGTTTTGAGGTCTGTTCTGCTTATTTTACTCAATGAGTTACAAATATATATCTGTGACTTTAGTTGAGTAACCACTTTGTTAATTGGATACAGCTTATAGCCATATCTTTGTGACGTTATGATGATGCAAAAAGATTCAGTGGGACTTATTGACAAGCTAGAAACCCTGGCAATCTACCTCTGAAACATGAAACAATGTAAATCCTTGTGGATTTCAATGGATCATCCTATATTGCATGGGGTCACATAGTTTAGGGCTTACTTTATGGCAACTAACAGCAACAATTGATGTTGCTATCAAATTTGGGCTTTGTGGTGCTTATCAATATCTCTTATATTGGTGTAGAATACTATTTTTATATGGCACTTCATAAATTACAAATAATTTGATGAGTTGAGTCAAACTAATAATTTATTTTTATTCTTTAGGGATATATAGATCAAGAAGGTAATCCAATGGGTTTTGCTGGACTTGTATCACATTTGTATTGTTATGAACCTTCAAATCTTGTTTTTGTCAATTTTCTTGTGAGAGGCCTTTTCCATAATCTCTGTCAGCCAACCAATGCTGGTAAGTTTGAGGTTATAAATATGTAATCTTAAAACAGCAATAGATTTGTAGGCAGTTAATATTTGGAGAACATTTTTCTATGACAAAAATATAAATAAGTATTTAGGTTATTTACATATTTCAAAATAGATACTGAAAATAAAGTTGCATATGTACTACTATAGATACAGCCATATTTTGTGGCAACTCTTTAAAAATGTTAACTGTACCAGAGAATTTGAATGCTTCAAATACATACACTGAAAAAGAATATCAATGAATCACATAATACTTCAGGATTCATTGCCTCTAGGTTTCACAATCCATTAAATGATGTGCAAGCAATTAAAAAAAATTCTCATTAAAAATATATGTCTATCATATAAACATTAAATAGATATGTTTAGAAAATCCATGTTAGAAATAAAGATCATCTGTAATTTCACTACCAAACGATAGTGAATATTTTCTTCTATCATATATATTTTTTAAATAGTTATATGTTGTTGTTGTTGTTGTTAAGTGCCGTCGAGTCAGTTCCAACCCATAGCGACCCTATACAGGGTTTCTGAGGCTGTAGTACGTATTTAATAACTGGTAATATAATATTATATTTTCTAAATATTTTTTCCCTTAACATGTCATAAATTTTACCCATATAAGGGTAATTGCAAAATAAATTCAATCTGTAATTCTCACCAAATAGTCCATTTAAAATCAATATTGTCAGATTTTTTTTTTTTTTTTTTTAGATTTAACAAAAAGTCTCTTACATACTGTTTTTTAAAGACTTCATCTTTAATTAAATGTTTCCATTTTGTAGTATTTGAACTAAAATTGCATTCTTACTATCTGGTGACTTAAGTGTGTTTCACAACATTATCATAACTAATAGGAATACCCAACCCACTTTGCAAAATAGGGCTAGCCACTGTACTATGATCATATATAATTCAGGAATTTATGCCCTGTTAGAAAACAAATAATCTCAGGCAACAGGAAATTCAGTTTGTGTGTGTGTGTGTGTGTGTGTGTGTGTGTGTGTGTGTGTGTGAAGGTTTAAGGATAGAAAATTTGACAACAACTTTATGATTTAGGTAATATAACTATCATCATTTGTAAATGAGGAAACAGAGTCATGGAGAAGTTAACTAAATTGCCGATGCTACAATTTTACAAAGTATCAGAGCTAAGATTAAGTAGATACAGTAGGACTTTAGAATCCAAGGTATCACATATGCCAACTTTTTACCCACAACAGTAAGAGTAAATAAATGCCTGTATGTTGAAGAATAGTGAGTTGACCTTAAATTAATCTGAGTGACAGAATTTAAGGAGGTAGATAAGGATGGGAGATAATTTGTAGGCTGAATTTTGAAACATCTTAAATGCTAAGCTAAGGAGACTGGGACTCATTTATTGGTGGTGGTGGTGGTGGTGGTGTGTCCTGGAGTCGGTTCTGACTTATAGTGACCATGTGCCCAGTATAGGCTTTCCGAGGCTGTAAATCTTTACAGGAGCAGAAAGCCTCATCTTTCTCCCATGAAGCAGCTGGTAGTTTCAAACTGCAGACCAATTTGTAACCATATGCTACCAACACTCTTTGGGACTCATTTATTAGATATTGAGATATCATAAAAATTTTTTAGTAGGATAGACACATGATCATAAAATGCTTTAGGAAAACGTATCCACTTGAAGTGATGATAGGGAAGGAGATGTAAAACTGCCAGTAGATAAAGTCATTTCTCAGTTACTATTTTTCATTATTAACTTTTAGTTTCTATGAAATGAAATTAAATATTTAACTTAAATATGAAAATGAGATCCACTCACTTTTACTATTTACAAGAAACTTTGTTTTGTACAGATTCAAAGCATTTTTCTCAAGATGTTATGGAAAAGTTAATGTTGGTGTTAGCAAATCTATTTGGAAGAAAATACATCCCAGCAAAGTTCCAAAATGTTCCTCTAAAGCCTCATCAATCAAAGGTACAATTATGATTCTCATAACATTTAATGATTAAGATAATTAAACATATGATACAAAATAATTAAATAGCAGTAGATTTTTAAAACAGTTTGTTTTGTATTAATTTGTTCATTCTATAATTAATATTGTAGTAAATCTGTAATTCATAACTCACCCTCTATAAATCTACCAAAAGTTTAAATATCTAAGGAAAGAAAGGGTCAGTGTCTTTTATTTTGTTTTTCATTTGATTGTCTCAAATTACAGCATTTGGTGAATAAAAAAATAAGACAAAGAAAATGATATATTTAAAAAAAAAAAGAGGAGACTGGGTACACAGTGGTTCAATTACTGGGCTGCTAACCAAAAGTTGGCACTTTTGATTAACCCACCAGCCATTCCACAGGAGAAAGATATGGCAATTTGGTTCTGTAAAGATTTACAGCCTTGGAAGAGACCCTACAGGGCACTTCTATTTGGTCAAATATCATCACTCAGTCACTCTTGAGTGGGAATTTACTCTGTGTTTTCTTTCTTTCTTCCTTCCCCCCACCCCAAAGGAAACAGTATTCCCATAGTGAAATCTATAGTTTTCTTAGGATAGTGTTACTTCAGGATGTAGTTATAATAGGGAGGAAATATGTCCTGTGAACCATAATGGTTTCTTTGAGAAAGTGTTAGATCTGTTAAAGAAAGCTTTGACTCAGAGAGACCAAAAACAAGGATACTCTTTGCAGCTTTATTATCAATGTTTAACTTGGTCACAATCCCTTATCATTAAATCAACTGCATACCACTAACAAAGTACTCCATTAGAATATGAGAAAGGCTTACCTTTACTAGATAATCTTAGAGACAAGATGAACTAATCGATATTGTCCAGTTGCTGAATTATAAATCAATGCTTTCACACAGTATTCTTTAGATACGTGGATGAAACTTTAGTTGTTACCCTTTATATTTTTTACAGTATTTTGTTTAAATAATTTTATATTTATGAAAGAAGTTTCAGTAAATCTATTCTTTAAAAAGTTCATAAAATATATTACAGATAGAGTAAAATAAGTTTCTGAGCTGAGTCTACATTTTCTTTCTCTTTGTAATGATTCTTGATACTCACTCAACTTCCAGCTAGGGCATGGTAGGTGAATGAGGATTACATTCACTAAATTTCATAGTGGCAAGAACTTTTCAAGGTATGGTAACAATCATCAACCATGGCTCTCCTCAGAGACTTTGCCAATATTGGACATGAATTCTGGAAATGAAATGAAGTTGATCTTGGCCTTAGTAAAAGACCTCTCTGTGAGATTATAAAACTAAACAAAAAACTCATTAAAACTTTTAGTGTAGTCTAGAAATGTAACAGATTTCCAACATATAGTGGAGTTCTCCATAATACACTTACTGAGTACCGGATCTGCATGAGACATTATGATAGAGTGCATTTTCCTTAAGTTGTTGTGTTAAATACCGTTGAGTCAGTGCTGACTCATAATGACCCTGTATAGGGTTTCTGAGGAGCAGCTTGTAAGTTTGAACTTGTCCTGTAGTGCCACACCAGGAGTCCAGTCTTATAGTGCTTGTGAAACAAAACAGCAAGCAAGCAAAGGAACAAAACCTGCTGGAGGAAAGGGAATGTCTTCAGTAATGTATAAGCTTGATCCACATACAGATATTTTCTAAAGCTATTTAGGACTGGTGATGAAAAAAGTAAAGCAAGTTGGAACTCATGAAGTGGAAATCTTTCAGGTCTGAGAACACTGATAACCACCTACCTCATAATAAAAATCTTAACAGTCACAAGACCTAAAACCATATACAAACAAGATATACACTGAGTTTTACTAAAATACAAAAAATACCAACCCACAGCAATTCCTACCTGGATTGAAATGATCACTTCTTCATTCTCTATGTCAAACAGAAAAATGGAGAACCCACTCTGGTGAACAGATCAATATCTGAAATGTATAGAATATTTTATAAATGTCTTCTGGAGCTTTAAAAAGGACTAGAAAAGTGTGTTAGGAAAAAGATATTATCAATAAGCACAAGGAGGAGTCCTGGTGTGGTACTCTAGGATAAGCACTGTACTGCAAGGTCAATTTGAACTGTAAGTTTGGCAGTTCAAACTCACCAGTCTCTCCTTATACAGGGATGCTATGAGTTGGAATCAACTTGACAGCACTTAACAACAACAACAACAAAGTATGAGGAAGGATTCCTGGTGTGGCTCTTTAGTATCAGAACTGAACTGTGAACCACAAGGTCTACAGTTTAAACCCACCCACTTCTTCTTGGAAATCCTATACAGGGTTGCTATGAGTCAGAACTGACTCACTGGCGCTTAACAACAACAAGCATGAAGAAAAGCCGGCAATGGAATTAGATCCAGAGATGATCTAGCTACTGGATTGAAGATATAAGAACTTTAAATATAGTTAATATATTTAAGAAAATAGGGGAAGTGATAGAAAATATAAATGATGGATGGAGAAATTAATCATATAATTAGAACATAAAAATAAAATGGACATAACCTAGTGGAAAAAATATACCTGAACTACAGAATATACATATTATAGGAATATATCAGAATATGCATATCATTGAACTTGTATAGGTATGGTGCTGTGGGCTAATGCGTTAGACTGCAATGTCGTTTGAACTGCAAGGTCGGTGGTTCGAGCTCACCAGCTGGAAACCCTATAGAGGGTCGCTATGTGTTGGAATCGACTCGATGGCACTTAACAACAACAAAGCAAGGATCAGTGAGTTAGAAATAACTCATTCAAAAATATTCAAATTATAACAGAGAGGAGAGAGGTAAAACATTAGTATGTAGTACAAGAGACATGTATCTCATACTTAAATGATTTAATGTATATATAATGGAAGTCCCAGAAGAGGAAGGGAAGTGGCAGAAGAATATTAAAAAATCTAATATCTTGAAATTTTCTGAAGCTGAGGAAAGGGAAAAAAATCTATATAAGTTTTTTAAAGCTTGATTAAACTTAAGATGGGTAAATATAAAGAAACATTAAATTAAAACTGTTGAACATCCAAAAATAATGAGAAAATCATAAATCAGTCAAAGGAAGAAATAAAGAAATACATTTCTTTCAAATAAGCAATAATAAGAATTATATATATAACATTTTAAACAAAAAACGGATGCTAGCTGAATATAGAATTACATTTTAAATGTGCTGAATGAAGATAACTACTAACCCTGAATACTTAAACTGAAAAAAATATTATTTAAAACAAGGTGAAGTTATTTTTTTGGACATATACAATCTGAGGTTACATGCGACTTTCAGGTTTTTACTAGAAGAAATGTCAGACAGAGTGACAGGTTTTCTGGACCAGAGCAAGTGAACTTGAGTTCCTTCACTTATGTAGTGAGGTGTCTCCAGGAACTTAATCTCGTAAACTAAGTTTGCTAATTCAGAGAGCTAAAGCCCAGCACTTTTGGTCTGAGGTTGATGGTAGAATGGAATGCCCTTTGGGCATTTATCAGATGTGCTAAAGAGGCACTGTAACATTTCCCAAGCAGGGCAGAGGCAAAGGGTCCTTGTGACTGAGAGGCCAAGGATCTGTATTCTGAACATTTCTGATTCTGAATCTAATAACTTCCTTTATAAGTCTCATAATCATGAGTTTTGTCTATGAGTTCTGTGTGGTCATTGTAATGAATTATTGAACTTGGAAGAGAAGTAGAGTGCCATGGGAAGGATAGCGAGGTGTCAGAATCGATTAAGAATGGTGGAGGGTGGAGGTATATGTGACCTCTGCCTCATAGGAATTGGTCTTGGATTGATGTTGAATTGGTTGGTTAGTTATGTGCTGTGGAGTCGATTCCAACTCATAGCGACCCTGTACAGGGTTTCCAAAGCTGTAAATCTTTACAGGAGCAGAAAACCTCATCTTTCTCCCACGGAACAGCTGGTAGTTTCAAACTGGTGACCTTGTGGTTCGCAGCCCAATTCGTAACTCCTATGTTACCAGAGCTAGATTCTCCTGAATCCTTGTTAAGTCAGAGGCGGTCTCTTGCAGAGATGCCTGGTGGGATGGATTGGCATAATAGCTGCACTGGTGAATTTAAACATGTTGTCAATCATGAGGATGACACATTAATTGGTAATTTTTTTATTCTGTTGTGCTTAATGTCACCATGAGTTGGAGTCAACTTGATGGCACTTATCTATCTCTATATAAGAATTTATATTAAATGTTAAGTATACTAAATAGAGAACTAAAATTGCCAAATTAAATTTACAAAACAAAACAAAAACCAGCCTATACTATATTTATATAAATCATATCTTAGTAGTTGAAAAATATATTCCAGGTAAATATTAATTTAAAAAATCAGAGCCAGCCCTGTTACCTGAAAATAAAACAAATTCATTTATAAATACATATAGATAAAGATAGGAATAAAATATAAAAGATAAAATATTTTATTAAGAAATAAAGAAGGTAAATATTTGTAAAATGACATAATTTGTGCAGATTAGAAGAAAATTGACAGATTTAGCTCCATTATTTGGAGAAAAAAAGCTGAAAAAAATCAGTGACTTAACTTTTCATCACAAAAAGCTTGGGAAGAAAATTAACATATAAACTCTAACCTTAGGAAAACAGAATAAAGAAATCATAATAAAAATGAAAACAGAAATAAATTAAAACAATTGTATAACAGGGAAGTTCAGAAAGCCAAAATTGGTTGGTTGTGAAGATTAATAAAATGATTTACAAGACTCATTGAGAATAAAGGAATAAAAGTCACTACTAGCAACAAGATAAATGGTACATTACTACAGATTCTGTTGTGTTGTTAAGTGCTGTGCTGTGCATTCCACATCATAATGACCCTGTATAGGGTTTCTGAGGAGTGGCTGGTGAGTTTGAACTGCTAATCTTGCCATTCAAACCAACCTTTCAGTATAGTGCTTATCCTACCGTGCCACACCAGGACTCCAGATCCTATAAATATCAAAAGGGCAAAAAGATATGTTATTAATGAATTTGTTACAATAAATTCACTTACTCTGTACTTACTATCTCATTATTTGACATTTCCCTTTTATAACAATCATCAAAATCTACTACCCTACTGTTTCTGCTCCCATATAGATTTCCAGTCTCGGACACCCTGTACAGGGTTGCTATGAGTCAGAACTGACACCACAGCACATAATCACCGCCACCACTGTTTTATGTATTAATGACATGTATCTGGCTATAATGAATGACGAAGTCCTTAATGGGGTTTCAGGCTGGCAGACCCTATATTCATGTACAAATAGAAAGGAAGATCATGTTACATAATATTTGCCCTCCCAGGAAGGGAAGAGTGCATGGTCTCCCCAAGCCATCAAGGGACTAGAGGAGGGATTAGAGTGTGACCCACCAAGACAGGATTTTGCCAGGCAGGTCCTCGGTGCTCATAGGAGGCTGAGGTCAGGGAAGTGGCAGCTGGTATATTAAGGTGTATGAAGGTTGGCCATTCTCAGGTTCTGGGAGGCAGTGGAAATCTAGAGTCTAGACACAGCTTCTGACCCCAAGGATTAGTATGGATAGGCTGGGCCATGGTCTAAGGAGCCCTGAGATAGGCCACTCAGCTGCTCTGGTCATGGGACCTCATGTCAGCTGACTGGCACCTGAACAGCCCCTTATGTTTCATCAATGTACCCTCCTCTGTGGGCCCAGGTGAGGGTGGGAAGTCTTCTTTGGCAGGGGTGGTAGTCAATAGGTGAGTGGTCAGAGGTAACTATAGGTTCAGGTCAAGAGCAGAGGCTGGGCCCAGCCATCATAACATGGGAGGAAGCTCTGGATTGTCGATTCTCATAGAGACATAAGGGTGGAGGGGGCAGGGATTTTCAGGGAGACCATCTGTAGCACATAGGCCCTTTCACTTATGAACAGAAAGTTCCCTGACACTGACAAAGCCACTAAGGATATTTTGGGATCATTGAGGTGATGATCTGGGACTACACACCCTATGAATCTATTGAGGGCAGAAGAAAGAGAGGACCAAGGGAATAGGGAGGGAAAGTGGCACTTGGGCCTCCCTGACTGGATGTCACTTCCCTGTGGGTGGCAGTAGAGGCCAACTTCTCCTGAGAGAAATGGAGGCATGTGTGGTTGTGACCTCAATCCAGTGGGTGTTCACAGTACAGGTGAGGGGATAAGGTGATGTGATCATTCTCTACTTTCACATAAATTTAATTTCATATAATAACATGGTATTAGGAGCCTGATTATGTCAATTAAAAAGAAAAAAATCTGAAGTGTCTGACATTTACTAAACAAATTTAATGTATTGCTTAAAAACATACTTACAAAGAAAATCCAGATTTGGACAGTTTCCCTAATGAATTCTTTCAAATATTATAGGAATAAAACAAATTTTCCCCCATATTCTTCTAGAGAATTGCAACAAAGAATATTTACCTAACTCTTTTGAGGAACAGTTTAATCATAACACAAAAATTGACAAGAACATACAAAAAGTAAAATTAGAAATGCACCTATTTCATGAATAAAGATGAAACAATTCCTAAAGAATATTCATGAAATGAATCCAGTAAATTAAAAAAAATATATAATAAATGAGATTTATTCCAGATATGCAAGGGTATTTTAGCTTATTACTTTCTCTACAATATGACACTATTTTTTTTAAAAAATAGTAAATCCAATATTTCTAGAGGGCAAGCTTTGATTTTAAACATTGTTTTAATTGTTGTTGTTAAGTGCTGTCAAGTCACTTCTGACTCATAGCGACACTGTATAGAGTTTCTGAGGAGCAGCTGGTTAGTTTGAACTGCTGACCTTGTGGTTCTAACCAACTTTTTGGTCTAGTACTAATCCTATAGCTCTACACCAGGACTGGATTGTTTTAATTAGATAGAATTAAACTGTATTATTAAGATTGAAGATATTTTCTCTTATAAATTCAAATAGAAACTAAAAGTGAATTTTATCTCAGTTTTACAAATGAAAGAACTAAAGAATAGCATTATTAAATAAATAGAAAACTATAGTTACATTGCAATATTCATTATCCTTTCTTTTTCAAAGTATGCATTTTCTATGAAAGCATTTATTTTTCTAAAAATTATTTGGCCTATAGATGCTCCTTGATGATCTCCCTGAAGATTTTAATGCTGCTTTACATGAGTATAACATGAATGTAACAAAGGACTTTGCCTCTTTACTAATAATTGCTTCCAAATTGGCTGATATGAAACAGGAATATCAACTCCCATTGTCAAATATCAGTAAGTATATTTTAAGTCTATTGTGGAACAATTTTAACAGTAAATAATCTTGATTAAGTATATTTTATTCCAGAAGAATAGTAGAGCCAAAAAATGTCAGTTCCCTTTAAAATGAGGGAATTTCTTCTGCTTTCCAAAGAAAGAAACTTTATTGTTGTTGTTAAGTGCCATCATGCTAGTGTTGACTCATAGTGACCCTGTATAGGGTTTCTGAGGCTTTAAACCTTTGCCAAAGCAGAAAACCTCATCTTTCTTCCATGGAAAAGCTGGTGAGCGTGAATTGCCCATCTTCATCTTGTGTTTCACAGTCCATTGCTTATTGTACAGAGCTACTATGCTCCCTTGTGATTATCAGAAGTTTTTTGTTTTTTTTTTAAAGTAGAGCATGAAACTACAGTTATTTATGAACCTTCTTGATTGAATTTTGCTTTTAGATCAAGCCAGGAAAGTGGAGTCTGAACAGCTATGAGATGAGAAACTAGATATTCGTCGGTCACTTTTTCCTGAGAAAGAATATGCTAGTGTTCCTAAACATACACTTTGGTAGATTACCCTGGTCCAAACCTGGTTCTGACGCTTATTAGCCATTAGACCTTGGGCAAATGACTCAGTCTTTTCCTCCCTTACCTCTCTCAACAGATATATTGCAATGAGAATAACATCATCTACTTAATTTTGATGAGATTGAACTGAATAAATTAATATATGTCAATATGTTAAAATAGTGCCTGTCATATATTAAAAATTGTTAGTGCTTGATTTTATTTTTCATAACCTATTAGATATAAACTTCTAGGGGTTAGAAGAAGAAAAGAAACTAACAAAGAACAAAAACATGAACTGTGACAAAGGGCATCAGTTCATCAGGTAGTAACTTCCCCCTTTCACTGCACCCTACCATTCTAACTGGATTAAAAATCTGTGAGGTAGATCTTGTTGTTCTATTAGGGTAGGAACAACATGAACAAAAACAGATATAAATGGTACTATGAGCATCACTCAGGAGGCAAGATGGGAGTGTATGACTCTTTCACCTCCATTATAAATTGGAGCCAAGCTTGAATGCATGATCTGCTGCTTTACAAGAGGAGGAATGGAGAATATATTTATTTTCACATGCCATTTCCAAATCTACTGATAGTGAGTGACTGCATGGAACACCTTGCCTAGATAAATTCTGGAGCCAAGTCTGAGTTCACTGGTAAAAAGTCCAAGTTAACAACAATGATTCTGTTTAAAACAGTATACAATTTAAATTGAATACTTCACTTCCTATAAAGCAAAGCAATGCAACTAAATGACAAGTTTTGATGATGATAATAATACCATTAATAGCTATCATTTATCAACTTCTTCTGTGCCAAGCTGCACAAATTGTGTTGTGTCATATTCAGGACACCTGTCTAGCAAAGTTGAATGATTTCACTTACAGCATGGTCTAGAACAAAACACAAGGCTTGAAAATTGGCTAATGTTTATAAACTAATGTATTCCAATTCATTCAGAATTCACAGGTCAAGAATATGAAGATTCCCAGCTTGTGGCTCACTTAATGAACTGCAAAGAAGGGAGAAAAGCTGTTTCACCATTCGTTTGTCTTTCTGGAAACACAGATGTAGATTTGCTTCAATTCCAGACTATAAACAATGTAAGTAGAGAATGGGATTGATGACTAAGAGAGAATGGATTTGCTCTGTTACGAAGCCCAGAGAGGACTTAAAAAATATCACCCATATGAACAAAAATAACCAGGAAAGTAGTATTGTTGAAGTCAGTATGATTTCAGCGTTGACCTGAGGTACTCTGCCTCTTTATAGAAACTTTCCAGGCACCACCATTTTTTAAGACACTAGAGAGATTGGCATAAATTTGCTCCTGCAATAATAGAACTTTCTTCCAGGTTTCTCCACATTACTTTGGTGGTGGTGGTCGTGTGCCATTGAGTGGGTTCTGACTCATAGTGATCTTGTATAGGACACCTTTTCTATCCATTGTACAACTAATCCAAATGTATGTACTGTGTGTGCCACTTACTTTTGTCTCCTTTCCATAAGTTTTTTCAAGGGCTTCTGGAGGAGTGCTGATATAGACATCATAGGATATAATGTTTGTGATATATTGCCACACACTCCCCAATCAATTAGACAGAGCCCTGTGAGGTACCGGATATGTACTGATTCAGACTCATTGTTTCCTCATGGTGTTCTGGAGGTGGAGGGTCAGTCTATCACATATTTGAAGCACTTTGCACTGGTGAATACATACATTGTAAAAATGCTGTCCTTACTGGACCTCCCTGATCTCTTTCTTGCCTAGCCCTTAAAGAATTGGGCATGATGGCTGTTTGTGAACCAAATCTCACAGACAACTCATTAAACAACTTCTACGTTCATTACAAAAAGAAAGTGCATTCTAAATGGAGAGAATGGGTCTGTCTCCACAGAGTGGTGGAATCCTAGAGACTGATACAGCTATGTTTCTATTTGGTATTCTTTAACCTATGGCAGCTAGCTTTGCAAAGCAAAAACATGAACTTGAGTGAGAGACCCAGTCTATCTCTACAGTGGATAAAAGACCCCGAGGCATCTGCAGCTCAGAGTTTTTATCTGTTGTTTTCTTAACACATGTTTACTTGTTGTTGTTGTTGTTGTTATGTGCCATCGAGTCGGTTCCGACCCATAGCGACCCTGTACAGGGTTTCCGAGGGTGTAAATCTTTACGGGAGTAGAAAGCCTCATCTTTTGCCCACGGAGCAGCTGGTAGTTTCGAACCGCTGACCTTAAGGTTCGCAGCCCGATTCGTAACCACTACGCTACCAGAGCTCCTTAGGGGTGGAATATTCCTTGTTTTCTGGGGATAGTCTGGGATTTCCTAGAACTGGCACCAACATGGTACTAGTGGGTGTGATTTTTACTGTTATAATTATATTATAATTAGTTATGGCCTACTTTGTTGTTAAGTGCTGACCTTATAGTCGAGTGCTTATCCTACAGTGCCACCCCTGTTTTGGGAGGTGATGGGAGGGGGAGTTTAGATCATGATTCTCAGTGGTTTATTAGTTATGTGATGGTCCTCATGATGTGATCAGACGTGATAAATCATTGAAAGGATTAAGTGTAGAATCCCAACCACCCACTGCCTTCGAGTTAATTTTGACTCATAATTACTCTGTATATAGGATTTCCAAGGCTGTAAATCATTACAGGATTGGAAAGGCCTCATCTTTCTCCCACAGAGCAGTTGTTGGATTTGAACTGCCCACCTTTTGGCTAGCAGTGCTTAGCCTACAGCACTACCAGGGTTTCTTAAGGGTAGAATGCAACACCCTTAATTCCATAATGCTGTTGTTAATTTCTGTCAAGTTGGTTCTGACCCATAATGACCCTGCAGAGTTTCCGAGGGGCAGCTGATGAACTTGAACCACTGACTGCAGGTCAAACTGACTTTGCAGTCCAGTGCATTAACCCACAGTACCACACCTGGACTCTAATTCCATCATAGTCCTTATCTTACAACACCTTTTACTTATAAGAGATAAAAAGGGAAATCAGCAAAGAGAGGGACCTACTGCTACCCAGAGAGAAGAGATGTCGTACATCCTTTGGACCTGGGCTTCCTGTACTGTGAAACTCCTAAATCCAGGAAAAAATTGATTTCAACACACATAGGGGTCTCCAGGGAATGCTGGGTCTACAATTTATTTGTGCTTGCTTTTCAGTTTAAAAAAAAAAAAAAAATTGAAGAAATACTTGATGTAGTCTTCTGAATGTTCCTTTTTTTTTTTTTTTTTTGTACCTAACATTGTGCTCCATAACTCATCCATGTTGTTACATGAAGCTCCATTCTACTTCTACTGCTTCATATTATTTCATCAGATGAATATAAAACAATTTATATATTCTGTTGTTAATTCGCACTTGGGTTTGTTTCTAGACGTTATTGTTCTAAGAAAGGTTGCTGTAAAAATCTGGTGTGCACACGCAAAAGGTTTTCTTGGGTATAAGTCTCCAAAAGAATTTTCTGGGTTATGAGACTAATAAGAATATTCATGCTTCAAAAATACCACTAAGTCGTTTTAGAAAATAATTGTACCAGTTTACATCCCCACTATCCATCTACCAGAGTTCTTATCGACACTATCAAATATGGATTGAAAAAATAAAATGAGCAGATATTAACAAGTATTGTTTTGTTTTGTGTTTTCTGTCTTTCCTTTCCCCCTTTTCCTTTGACTGCTTCTTCTTCCCTTTCTTTTTTTCTCTATTCCTTCTTCTTTTCCTTTGCCTCCTTTTCTTACTGCTCCTTTTTCTTCCTTTTGGTAATTGGGTTTTAAAGTTTGTTCATTTTAATTCTAACCTTGTGGACATACACAGTCCCTGAATTCATATTTGCCAAGGTATCTCCTGAACTGATTAAGATAATGGTACATTTTTTAAGCTAGTTTTTCTTGCTCAGTACATCTTGCTGAGAATATAGAAGGCTAATGGTTGAAATTGCCATCAGTTGTGGTGGAGACAATAATTTTCAATGGTGAAGCTAATCCATTTTGTAGATTTGTTCAAGTTGGAATCAACATATGTGTATAAAAGACACTCTTCTCTTGCAGTAGCTGTCCCTGTCCACCCGCTTCTGTTCTATCTTTTAAAGTATGTGTTTAAAAAATATCAATGAAAAAAAGTAACAACAAAGTGCAATATAAGAGATCATAATCTGCCTTTACACATAAGTAGCACATTAAGAGAAAATGTGTTGTTTTTTTTTTTAGGTTATTCTGCGCACAATTGGCATCAGTGGCAATCAGGTTCCTGTGCTGTGGTCAGAGAAACTTGATAACCAAGGAAGAAGAATGCCACTTAGTGCTTATGCATTTGAATTCTATAAACATGGTTCCTTGAAAAGATTAGTCCAGGATAACAGGTATGTTTTATCTATGTACTTTTATATTCATAGTGTGATTTTTAAAGAATTTTAAGACAGTGTCCTTTTGTTTTTAATGTTAGGCATAACATTGGTCGATCATGTTAAATGTACTGAATCAATTTCTTCAGACTAATGATAAGAGTCAGTAACAAGTTCTGTGCTATTTTTATTTATGATATAACAGCAATATCTTGGTCCTTGGGCTGACTCACAGGGCATAAAAATACTCTAAATATAAAAATATTCATACATACTCAGATATTTCTATTCATTCTTTTTCTACTTATTCATTATTAGAATTGAAATATTTTGAATTACAAATACTTCCATGGTATCCACACTGATGTGGCACTACAGGATAAGCACAGGACTGTGAACCACAAGGTCATTGGTTCAAACCCACCAACTGCTCCTCAGAAACCCTATACGGGGATGCTATGAGTTGTAACCAACTCAAGAGCACTTAACATTAACGACAACATCCATTATCAGAGAGGTTTATGAAGTTATTTAATTTTCATAGATCATTAATTTTCCTTTTTTTTTTTTTTAGGATATATGAAAATGAAGCTTATATGTTATTGAAAAATTTTGCAAGTATAATACGAATGATCAGGTGTGTCATATATTTTTAAATATTGGTTTCATACTTTCCTCATAATTTAATGATAGTTTTTTAAGTGTTACTTTGTTACTATAAGTCAGATATTTGAAGGTGCCATTTAATTTCCTGGCTACTATGCATTTCAACTCCTCAAACCTCTGCTGGATTTCTCATAATTTCTGTAATGGAATTAATGCCAAAATCCATTGGACATATAGCTCCATCCATTGAGTATCAGTCATCACATAAAAACAAGCAAAAATATTCTAAAGCCATTTTGATTCTTGGAAACAGTCAGTGTGTATAAGATACAAAATATTTTGAGGACTCATTAAGGCTTCATTAGGTCATTTATGTCTGCTTGCGTATTCTTGAATCTCTAGCTTTTACCAGTATTTTCTGTAGGTCAAACCCAGTTCTGATCTCTTATATTGAGTTCCAGTCTTCATCTTTAACAGATCACATTGGATACTTAGGAAATTCTGATTTCCATATAGATACACCATCTCTAGGTGCAATTGATCACTAAATATTGTCTAGTTGGATGTCTGTCTTCCTAAGCTTACAGTCCTATTGCACTTTATTACTTTACCAATTTCTGTTTATTCTATCACTTCAATAATATATATATTATTTGTCATGAATCCATTCAATATTAGGTTGTTGCTAATGAGGTCATAGTTCCTTATTTTTGTAGTCAGAGCTGAATCAGGCCCTTTGGGCAATATTTTTTGTTACTTTTGTGATGCTAGAACAAAAGTGATTTGCTTTGCCAACATGAGGTATTTCTAGTTAAAGTATTTTTAAAAGAATATTTTACAGACTTTTTGGTGAAAGTTTACATAGAAAGTCAAGTTCCCATTTGACATATTTTGCACAAATTGTTCAGTGACATAAATAGCATTTATTATGATGTGTCAACATTTCTTTTAATTATGTTGTTTTATTTCCCATTTCAAATACTCTAGTTTCCCTGCCTCCTTCTCTTCTGATTTTCACTTTTGCATAATTGTTGACAGTTTGTTCTTGTAGTGATGATTTTGTAGTAGAACAGTAATATTATTAGTAATATCTTCTATTTGATGATTTTAATGAGCCAATTTTTGCTTTTGTTGATTCTTTCCATTGTTTTTCTATCTTATATTTTGTTTATTCCACTACTCATCTGACAGTTTATCATACTGTGATGGTTTGTGAGTTGCTGTGATTCTGGAAGCTATGCCACCAGTATTTTAAATACCAGCAGGGTCACCCATGGTGTACAGGTTTCAGATGAGCTTTCATATGAAGATAGACTAGAAAGAAGGAGAAATGGACTACTTCTGAATATTTAGTCACTGAAAACCTTATGAATAGCAGTGGAACACTGTCAGCAACAGATTATTGATGATTGAAACATGATGAAGAGCATCAGAGTATCATGAGATAAAATGCCAGATGATGAGCCCCTCAGACTTGAAGGCACTCAAAATGTAACTGGGGAAGAACTGCCTCCTAAAAATAGAGTTGAACCATGATGTCACGAAAATAGTAAATACCTTGGGACCTTTATTTGCAGATGGGGCACAAATCAAAATGAAGAAAAACAGCTGTAAAATCCATTAATAATTGGATCATGGATTGTATGATGTATGAATCTAAGAAAATTGGAAATTGTCAAAAGTTAAATTGAATGCATAAGCATCAGTATAGTGAGTTGAAATGGACTGGTATTGGACATTTTGAATCTGAAAATCACATGATTTACTATGTTTAAAATGGCAAATTGAAGAGGAATGGCATCGTAGTCATCATAAAAAAGAACATACTAAGATTAGTCATGAGGTATAATGCTGTCTGTGAGAAGATAATACCCATCTACCTACAAGGAAGACCAAATAATACCACTATTTTTCATCAAATTTATTCATCAACCACTAAAGTCAGTGATGATGAAATTGAAGAATTCTACCAACTTCTTCAGTCTGAAATTGATTAAAAATGCAATCAAGATGTATTGCTGGGGAAATAATGTTAAGATGCATGACTGTCTTAGAAAAATTGGCTTCTCTTGCCTACTGTTGTAAAATAGACACTTGAGTGGGATAGCAACATGATTGCAGAAAGCTTGTAAGACCACTTTCAGCCAATAACTGATTGAAATACCTGAAAGAGGTTCTAGAACTTGCCTAGTGAAATAAGCTTCTTTCAGAGACTTTGCAGTGTATAGGACCTTAGGTGGAATCCTGAGCACCATCCAGAACCTTCTGAGGTGGGAAATTCCCACTAGAAAGGACAAACAGACCATCCTGGAACAGCTAGAGCAACATAAGATACATCTTTATAGAAAGATCAGGAAAAATCTAAAACAAAAGTGGCATATGATTGACTACCACAAGACCAAGCAAGTTGTTCACTGGGGAGCCATCAAGGCAGCAATCAAGTCCCATCAGGACAATCCCTCTTCTAAGACTGAAATTCAAAAGGAAAACATGAGCAGGCAGGTAAGCTTGCTGGCGACCATGTTGGTCCGCTGATGAGTGGAAGAGTGGGAAAGGCAGCAATGAAGAAATGGGCTGAGTTCTACCATGTTCCATAGACTCCCATTGACCTGGAGATGAGAGCGAGAAGAGGAAGGACAGTTTGATCTGAAGTGTGGTGAGACCTGGGGACTTCTGAGACCATGGACAAAGACATCGTTACAGAGGGCTAGAGCTGAGAGTGAAGTGCCCATCTGATATGAAGTGAGGGGATAAGTACAAGAACACTCAAACTTGCAGATAGTACCAAACTGACCTAACCTCAATGGCTTGGTAATCAGAACTCGACTAGAGTAAGATAAAATACAAATTTTAAAAAGTGAACGAAGGAAACAAGGATAAATTGCTACAAATTGATGAACTTGACCTATACTTATGGATGTAGTAGCTTATGGATGCAGTACCAATTGAGAGGGAAAGAGTCTTCACATGAAGTACCTACCGATCCCATTCCCTCTGTATACAGGGTAGATAGGGATGGGCAACTTAGACACTGGCTACCTAAAATGAGGGGGCGATAGAGGCATGAAGTGACTAGCTTATACATTTTGAAGAAGGAGTTTAGTTTTAGAGTATGCAGGGGAAGGTAGAGTACCCACTGAATAGTGTACATCCTGTCTAAATGGGTCTGGTGAAGTAGATGGGGATAGGATTTTTATGACTCAATAGTGAGTAATTGCTATCATAATTAATTGCAACTGTCATCACTGTGAAGGTAGAGGTTTTATAGAAAAACAACAAAAACCTGGGGAATTGTTAATCTTACAGTCCAGAAGCAGAGTACCCTAGGACCATTAATGGAAAAGAACACAGGAGGAATGCAGGACCCTATCAAGAGAAGCAGCAACACCAGAGATGGAGGCAGAGATGAGGACATGGAGAGAGAGAGAGCAGTGAGGACTCTGGACTCATGAAAAGAAAGAGGGACTGGGTGCTAGCAGCCAGGAGGCAGGCTTGCAGAATGTATCCTTTTGTTGTATAAATTATTATATATTCCTGAGTGTTCTTGTGTACATGCTCCCCCCTCAAAAAAAAGGAAGGAATGTAAGCAAATACTGTTGAATAATGATGCACCAGGAGATTGTACTCATTGCAATGAAACGATGGTGTAAAGCCAATGTTCTCATGTAAATTATAACCCAGTTCACAACAACAACAACAAAATGTATTGTTAATTATTGGCAATTGGAATACAAAGGTTGGAAACAAACAGGAAGTATCAGTAGTTGGAAAATATGATCTTGGTGATACAAATGATGCTGGAGATCACATGATCGAATTTTGCAAGACCAATGAATACTTCATTATAAACACCATTTTTAAACAGCATAAAAGATGACTATACATATGGACCTCACCATATGGAATACACAGAAATCAAATTAACTACATCTGTGCAAAGAGACCGTAGATAAGCTTCAGGTCATCAACCAAAGCAAAACCAAGGTCAGACTGTGGAACAGAACACCAATTAAGACTATAGCTGAAGAAAATGAAAACAAGTCCATGAGAGCCAAAATATGACCTTGGACACATCCCACCTGAATTTAGAGAACATCTGATGAACAGATTTGTAACATTAGACACTACAGACTGTAGACCAGAGAGTTGTGGGTTGACATCAAGAACATCATACAGGAAGAAAGCAAAAGGTCACTGAGTAGACAAGAGAGAAGGAAAACATCAAGATGGATGTCAAGAGACTCTGAAACTTGCTCTCCAGAGTAGAGATGCTAAAGCAAATGGAAGAAGTGAGGAGATATAAAAGCTGAACAGAAAATCTCAAAGGTCAGCTTGAGACTATAAAGTCAAATATGATAATGAAATGTGCAAAGACCTGGAGTTAGAAAACCAGAAGGGAAGAACATGCTCAGCATTTCTTAAGCTGAGGGAACTGAAGGAAAAAAATTCTCAAGCTTTGATTTTCATTATTGAAGGATTCTCTGGGCAAAATACTGAATCATGATGAAAGCATCAAAAGAAAATGAAAGGATAAATGGTCGATGTTCAATCATTTCAAGAGGTAGCAGATGATCAAGAATCAATGATCCTGAAGGAAGAAGTCCAAGGTGAATTGAAGCAATTGGCAAAGAACAAGACACCAAGAATTGATGGAACACAAATTGAAATCTTTCAACAGAGTGAAATGGCACTTGAGGTACTCACTCATCTATGCCAGGAAATTTGGAACACACCTAACTGGCCAACTGACTGGAAGAGTTCTGTATTTGTGCTTATAGTAAATAAAGGTGACTCAATGGAATGTGGAAATCATGGGACAGTATCACTGATATCCCATCATTAAGTTTTACTAAAGGTCATACAGAAATGGTTGCAACCATACATTGACAACCTCAGAAGAGGACATGGAACAAGGGATTTCACTGTTGATATCAGGACTTGGCTGAAAGCATAGAATACCAGAAAGATGTTTACTTGTGTCAGGAAGATGTTTACTTGTGCTTTATAGACTATGCAAAGTTTGTTTGTTGTTGTTGTTGTTGTT